TGAAGCAGTCATTAAATACAAAGTGAACCGTTAACTATACAACAAATGCACTGTGTGTGCATTTGTTGCGAAACTCATGGCAGTGGTATAAATACTAACAAAAGTTCTTGTATTATCATGGCTGTAACACAATTATAATCTAATCACGTACTTACACTCACCTCTGCTACAGTAAGAATACAAAAGTTCATGATATTTTTGAGCTTAATTATAGTCCAATATGGATATAAAAAGACTAGTACTATGTGGGTTTTCCATTTCAAGGACGAAGCAGGGATGTATATCCATGGTTCATTGTGAGCATTATATTTTGTTTTGTCAAAGAGTAACACTATTAAATTAAAACTTAGCTAGGCAAGTGTGTTTGGCTTATGAAAATGACATGAAAGTATGCATCTCCAAAAGAATGTTTTGAGAAATTAAAGCACATAAAGAAGATTTATGATTTTTGCTCAATGTGAGTTTATGAATTGGGAAATGACTGGAAGAAAGCAATTCATAAAAATTACTGTAAATATATAGTTATGAAAAGTCGAGAAGAAAAAAATAGGAAAACAAGATTGTTAGAAAGGTGCCTGAAAATGCAGCATGAAGACAAGAGGCAAGGACAGTCAAAATACTGTATTAAAAGATAACCACTGGAGAATATTCAACTGGTGAAGAAATTAGATGTGGTCAGGGTAGTTGAAAGTCTGAGGAGTAGAATTGATGAAAGAAATACAGATGTGAACACAGTTGTAAGTTCAGTAGAACTTTGGATTTTATTGCCTTTAAGCTCTTCGTGGTCTAGTGGGTAATGCATGCATCTGGGGGGACCCGGGACACATGTTCAATTCCATCGCAATACTCCAAAAGAGTTTCTCAGATATATCATACTATTATGATTTCATTGTGCATGAACGTGATTAATTTTGTGGGTGGGAAGTGCAAGGCAGAATAACTAATGCCATACAGTGAAGAGACAAGTACTTCAGTACTGAAGATATGCAAGTAACCTGCAAATATTGTAGTGTATATAACATTTATAGACTTTAACCTTTGTACTGCTCAACTATTTCAGAGTGCTACATCATGGTGTACATTAGTAGTAGTGTAGTTAACAAATCAAATTGGAAAAATTGTCTGACAATTTGCACAAATGATACAAATAAATGGATTATATCAAGCCATGTATGCACATAATGCAGTTTTCTATGTTGTTTGATAGAAAGTTGTATTGATGTGTAAGAAGGAAGTGAAGTGGACAAAAGTAAAGAAGATATGGTTTGGAAAATAGAGAAGGAAGTGGGGAGGAAGGAAATAACAGGAATGGAGAAGTGCTAGAAGTTGATCAACTTAAATAGCAGTACTTGAGGCTGAGAGATTTATAAGAGAAGAAAATATGCAAGCAAAGTTTAGAGTGAGCCATGGAAAGAAAGTAGATTTGTGCATTGAGAGTCTGATTTAGGAACAAAACAAAAAAATATACAAAAATATAAAATAATGTGGCTAGAATGTTGAAGTAGCAGTGCCTACCCTTATATACAGTGTGAGGCAACTCACATGTTTTCTTCGATGGAGGGGAAAGTGTTTTAGTTCAGTTAAGTCTGAGGGGGCCCTCAAGGTAGAGCCTCGTTCCAGCTGACCTCATTGTAATCAAACGCAATTCTTACCATAGGTCTACCCAATATTGGTGTGGCACAAGCATAAACAACTAAGAGATAGAACACCAGCAGAGAATAAAAAATCATGGAAAGATGTGGTGTACAGAATCAAATATGTGAAGTTTTGGTCATGTTCAAAGACAGGATAATAGTGGTAAAGTGTATCAGAATGAATTTGCAGGTAGGAGAAGGATTAGAAGTAGAAGGTCAAGTGGGTGATAGGAAAATTAATGTGTGCGCGTGAGGAAGTGGGATCGAATGTAAATAGTGCACCTGAAGTGGTATCAAACAAGTCAAGGTTGCAGCAGTTTAATAGTAAACATTTGCCATATTAGTGACAACTTACTGGGAGTTCTTTACACCTAATCTTACAAAGCAGTGAAGTATTGCTGTGGATGGTTTGCTGGAGTGTGGTGGTGCTCAATCTCTGCGGTGAGATTTAACATGGCAGATAAAATGAATGGATAGGTGTCTTTTTGTATATTTTAATTTCTTCTTTTCCTATACTGTACTGCTAAACTCTCTCTCCCAAGCAAATGCATCCCACCTCATGAAAGTGGGAAATGGGATATTATTGATAACATCAATTGATAGGTCAGTTTGTATAATAGTTTGATAGGTCTAGTATGTATAAAGTTGCCGATAAAGCATATACGGGTATGAATATCATTTATTCACAAAATTACCAGTCAAGACCATGTAATTTAACATGCCTGTGTCCTTGCAATGAATTAATACCCCAAGTTAGAGCATAACAAGCATATGATTGGTAGACTACTTGCTCAAACTCAGAATCAAAATGTTATCAAGCAAGCAGAATATACCATTAAGTCATCACAAGCCTCATGTGCCATACATGGACCTTACTGCGGACACAAAATAATGCTCGCATTAGCATTTAGATATCACAATATTTTGTGCAGTACAAGAGATGCCAATTCAATGTTTTGGATGGAATAACTAATGAAGGTCATTAGAAAGTAATTTGAAATTTCACTGGCAGATAATAAGTGATCTTAAGTGAACCAGTTTCCCTTGAAATAAATAAATAAAAATTCCATTACCTCATTTCATTTTATAAATGCAAATTGCTTGATCTGGTGAAAGGTATATTTATATACCTTGACATTGAACATAAAAAAGTTGCACTACAGATATCATGTGCCTTAATCATAATAATTATTATTATACACAGTACTGTGACACTTTTCAAGCTGACAATACTGATTACAAGAATTTCTGAGATGGCAGCATACAGATTAATTCTGAATTAGCATCTCTTCATACAAAGTGAATGCAATACAAGGTGAATGTAGAGAGGAGAGGATTCATGATTTGTATGTAGCGGAAAAGAAAACACACGCTCCTAACGTTATCTGATGAAGGTTATCACACACTTCGTCAAGTCGACACAGGAAAAGTTCAAATCTTCTTTCAGAAGTTTGTAGCAGTCTTAACAAAAAAATGTAGATGAAATTTCATTTCATTACTTTCTTTTTTTAAGGAAAACAGGCTTAGAAGCAAATTGGTTGTAGCTAATATTTTACCATGACACTTCAAAATTCAACACTTTGACACTACAGTACTGTCAAAGAACATTAAATTGCTTGAAATTTTAAATATAACTGACAAATAATGTTTTTCAAATTATAACAGGCTTATCATCTCTATTTCACTAATAGGGAATTAAGCTTTGCTTAACCCTTAAATGGAACAGCTATTTAACTTCTATATTATGTTGCACATGACTAAAAAATAGTCAAAAAATCAAACATGGGGGAAAAAAAGAATTGCAAATGGCAATTAGAGCACAGGAAGTAATTGCAGACAGCAGTTGGCCCAGTGTAAGGGTTACAAAATATTACAGAATTATTTTACAGAATTACAGCTATCCAAACTTAACATGAGGCAATACACTTTCAGCAAGTTTTGTTTATTTTTTTTATATTTTTTATATATATTGAAAATAAACATGATATTAGCAGCATTCACATCAATGTACATATACAATGTATGATCACTACAATGACCAACTACCCAATGGGGTCTGAAGATTCCTGCCCTAATTACTACAATCCTTAGGATTAACATCGCACATCCTGGTGACCAACATAAGTGGGGGAGGGGAAGAGGGGAGGGGTGGAGAGCTCGGCAAGACAGCAGTACTTGGCTGTCAAGACATTGAGTTGCCTGATCAAAACATATTACTGTACTAAGATTTCCTGTATGTATACAAAAGTAGGAATATGTCTTAAATTATATACAAGAAGATCAACTCATTATTTTTAAAATTAAAACCACATTTTAATCATGATATAACACAAGATGAAATTGACTAACAATTATAATCTGTAGTTGAGACACAACATACACGAAATGAACCTAGGTTACAGGCAGTGATAGATGGCTAGTATTATCATAAATAAGTGAAGACTTGCAAAAAAGTAACATCTGGAAATGCAATCTCTAAAATATACATAAATGGATACAGTTGTACAAAAATGAAAACTATGTAATAAAAATGACTATAACATATTCCCAGTACTGGTGTACCTGCTTGGAAAGGAGGACATTGTCAGGATCCTCCTCCTGTTGAATAACATTATTGATGAGAAAATATTGAAGCTGTATCACTGGACTAGGATTCAGCAAGCATTTATGCAAGCACTTAAAAAACCTCCATATCTTTCCTTTGCCCCTGCATGGGGGGGGAGGGGAAGTTCTGAATTTTTTGTTTTTCTTTTGACATTGTTAATTAGCTTCCAGGAAGCTCAAAAATCCAAAAATATGGTCTGGAGAAGTTGAAATGTTTTCAGTAGAAATGACTTGGTGAGCCACATGGTATAACTTTAATTTATTTGCATTGTTTCTCACTTTATTTAGTTTTTTGTTCTAACAAGTTGTATTGATGTATTAAAGGTGGGAATTCATTAGGTATAACTCAAAAAATATATGTAGCATACAATATAATATCACACATTTTGCATGAAATATATACATGGTCACTTGTTTGCTGTTATTAAAAAGTTCAGCGGCTCCTAGTATGGCCGTCCCCACATTTCACACACTGGATGGTGATGTTGCCAGAAATTATTATTTTTTTTTTTTACCAAGGCCCCTAGAAGGATGGTGAGGGACTCAGGTTTATTATATATTTTTTTTTTTTCAAAATGGGGATGGTTATTTGGGGCTTAAGGGGCTTACACATTTTTTTTTTTTTTTTTTTGTGATATATACAAGAGTTGTTACATTCTTGTACAGCCACTAGTACGCGTAGCGTTTCGGGCAGGTCCCTGGAATACGATCCCCTGCCGCGAAGAATCGTTTTTTCATCCAAGTACACATTTTACTGTTGCGTTAAACAGAGGCTACAGTTAAGGAATTGCGCCCAGTAAATCCTCCCCGACCAGGATACGAACCCATGACATAGCGCTCGCGGAACGCCAGGCGAGTGTCTTACCACTACACCACGTATGCACCCTGTGCATGCATGGGAATTTGATATTTTATGATAGGCCTAAAAATAACCCCTAGTTGTGATGTGTAGTGCAATTACTTACTTGTTGAGGACAGGAAGCATGTGTGTACTGTGTATATATACAGTATACACTTTTACACTTTAAGACTTTTATCAAGGTTCCTCACACAAACTGCTGACCTTCCCCAGGGTGCAACCCCACAACAGTTGCTTAACTCCCCAGTACCTATTTTAGTGCTAGATAAAAGGTAACATGCTCAACCATTTCTGCCCCACCTGGTCATTGATCTCGGGATCCCCAATTGAGAGTCGAAAAAGAGGCTAACTACTAAAAGATGTACAGGTTTTGAAAAGTTTTTGTGTAAATACTTGGTGAATCCTGGCCCTGGCATCCTCGGGCATATTCCCTACTGATTAGACCATGATGGGCTTAACACCTTCTTGACCAGTTACTTTTAGGCCCATCATAGTCCAATCGGTTCACCGTTTACCTAAGGATTTTAGGCACGATAGTTTATCCCATTGTACGGCTTCAATATTTTCTCGCAGCTGTATCATGTTCTGGTGAACTCACTGTGCAACATAATATTAATTGAAACAGGCATGCTTGGAAGAAAATATACTGATAGCTTAAAGCCTTGAGTAATGCCTGCTGTTATGATGTGGCAAAGTAAAGTCTTTTACAATGCAATCAACAACTCCTGTTACATATTACAGAAAGACATGTGGCATAATTGTGCTGTGCAATTATATTCTCCCTGCTATTTGAGCCTCTGGAATCAGCACTGATAACAACTTTGAGCTAGTTCCTGTTTAAGGTCAAGTAACTTAAGTCATATTTTGTGGAAGAGATGGACACGGGTCTAATTCCACAAATGAAAACAATGTTTATGGAGTTTGAAATATTCAGCTTGTAATTCTTGACATTTCTATTTGACTTTTTTACTATATCATGCACTGAGTGACTACTGCAGTCAAGCACTGATGATTGACTATGAGAATTTCACCCAATGAACAATACAGTATTTACTAAAACCCCAATGAAGATAAATATTTTACAGTATTGTAGATTGTTGAAAATATATTCAATACTGTACTTAGTCAGAACTTTAAATTAGATATTAACAAACCCTGCAAATATTGATATACCATATGCCAACTCAAAATTACAAGACTAGTTGCAATGAAACTTAATGGAAAAAATATAAAAAGACAACACATGACCACTGTTCTGAAAACTTCAAATCCTCCATATTGGAGAACTTGTCCAGGAATCATCAAGAATTGGTGACCACTTACAAAAATGGTACATCATTCCTCGATCATGGCAGTGTTGTTTACATTTATTAAACTGTTTTATGAATATCTGAAGCTCTATGAGAGTGTCCATAATTCCAAATTACAAAATCTTAGGTTTTGAATTTTCAGAGCTTCTAAATAGTTCAACGAATACAGACTAAGCCGTAATGACTGAGGAAGATGTACAGATTTCGTCGATGGACACACAAGTGATTGATGAATACTGGCCAGTGAAATAATGGTCATAGCCTCATTCATTCCAGATCAACTAGTATCTATGTTGAAAAACTTTAAGCTATATACTAAAGTCCCACAACAAGAGGTACATATATGTTGCCTGCAAACTACAGCCAAGCCCTGCTCCTGCAGGCAGGTGAAGACAAAACTGCTCTGGAAACTGGATTGCTTACACACACACACACACACACCACGCATGCGCGCGTGCGCGCACACACACACACACACACACACACACACACACACACACACACACACACACTTGCTATATAGTATCACAATTAAAGTTCAGGATTATACAATTGTTTATTAGTATTTTCACTGAACAGATATACATGCTTTAATGTATGTAGAAAGTTTCACGGCTTACATTCTGTACATGTAGTGAGGAACATTTGTCACTAAATCTTGACTAAAATCTTGGATTTTAGTTACTGTATATTATTGACTGGAAGTCTCTTTGTCTTAATTTTATAATGCATATTTTCAAGTCATGGGCTAATGCATAGTGACCCGCGTGAATCTTGGGGGCTCGGGTGGGGTGGGAGGTGGCTGTGAGCCTCCCGTTTCGTCCTCACTTTCAGTAAGTGGAGCCAACTGTGAGTGTTCTGGGGGTAGCATGGTGGTGTGAGTAGAATCTGATTGGAGTGTTCCATTGTCACCAGTTGGGTAGGCCTTGCGCTGAAGACTTTGAATATACTCCTGTAGAATAAGGCACAAATACATGTGATAATACATATATATATTCATATACAGCATGTTTTAACATACAGTATTCTGTATATTTTTATTTATCTTAAATTTGGAAAGCTTCCTTTGACGCGATGATCAGTTCAAAAATCAAAACGGCAAACTAATAAACTTGCAACAAAGTTTTTGCTTTTAAATGGTAAGATAAAACAACTAAACTTGTGTTAAACTGACAAAGTAAATTGAAGAAGAGATGCACATGTATTAAAACACAAATACAATTGCATGCTAATTCACTTATCAATTAGCAATTTTTACTGTGCATTTTTTATAGAAATGTTACCTATTATGATTTATTTTCCTAAAAGCATCATTACAGGATATCGGTAATTAGCTAAACTAAATTGAACATACAAAACTAATAAATGCTAATATGCATAACTACTGTAAAATACCTTACTCTAACATAGTGTAGCTACCAACTACCACACTAGCAAAAAATGTTTCACAGCAAGGTTAAAGCAAAGAAAATTTAAGAGCATTATCTTACCTTGATTATATATTCATTTAATATGGTCATTGATATCCTGAATATTTAACCCCTAAACTGCACATCTATATAAAAGTATGACAACAATGTGCACATGACTAATAGTAACAAATCAAATGGGAAAAATTACATATGGCAACTGGAGGACAGGAGATAATCGCATATGGCAGTTGGAGCAGTGTAAGGGTTAATGGGTATCTTGCCTTCAGGTTTGTATTAAGCATAAAAAACACTTAACATCAAGAAAGGAAACTTTTAAGGCAAGCTGTAAATTTGTTTACTAATTAATAAAAATAAAATAAAAATGCCAAAAAGGAATTCATTACCAATTATGTGAAAAGCTTATAAAATACTTAAGCTACTAGCATTACAAAAAAGTTTATAACAGAGCATTTAAAGGCTTGGGAATTGGAAGTACAGGAACATTCTGTAACTATCACCAACATAACAGTTAGCTCTTCCATGGAAGTATGTTATTAAACACTGGAGTATGCTTTTTTAATCTATTGAAGCGAATTATCCCGAGGATGGTGTCAAACTAAAGTTTATAGCATAAATTTGGAAGGAAAATCAGCATAACTGCTATAGCTTAATGAATTTTCTCAATGAAAAATTACATTTGTTTTCATTCTAAGCTGCTGAATTTCTTTGCCCCATCCCCAGGCTTTCTCCAAATATTTTAAGCTTATTAGCTTCCAAATTTAAAAAAAGCTAAAATCTAAAATGTGATGACCAGAATATTTAAGTTACAGTTACTTTATAAATTTTGAATTGGCTGCTTAAACAGTAGAGAGGGCCATTTATGCCAATTAAAGAGTAATAATGAGTGAAAATAATAGAAGCAGTTCACAAAAGTATATATTAGTGAAACATTAGCAAGACGGTAGGAAAGCATATTGAGGCTAAATGTTAAAAGAACAATAAGTGATGGGGAAAACAGCAGTTATGAAAGACTGAAGAGGTAAAAAAAAAAAATGCATCTACGGTATAAATAACAAGAAATATAATGTCATTAATGAAACTAAGTTATCCCTCATGTTTCCTCAGACAACGGGTTGATGTAAAAATGAATGCCAACTAATCGCCATTCTGACAACGGAAGATGGCTACGGAGTGACAACATAAATGTTGATAAAGAACAAGAATCCTAGTTTCTTGACGGGAAAATTGGGGTTCATGTAACGTTGATCCAACGCATTAAAAGTTAATTCAGTGTTATTAAATGTTACTTGAGCAAGTTTTGCCCACTGTGAATTCTCACTTCATAAAAAAAATTATATGTATTTCCTTTTGTAATAAAGTGAGGCTACAAGCTTTATACAGGCAAGTTATTGCTACTGCACTGTCACAATGTACAGTATTAGCAATTATGTCATTGGCACTTAACCTCAAACTAAAGTAATAATAATAATAATTATATATTATATATATATATATATATATATATATATATATATATATATATATATATATATATATATATATATATATATATATATATATATATATATATATAATATGTCGTACTTAGTAGCCAGAACTCACTTCTCAGCCTACTATTCAAGGCCCGATTTGCCTAATAAGCCAAGTTTTCCTGAATTAATATATTTACTATATTTTTTTTTCTTATGAAATGATAAAGCTACCCTTTTCACTATGTATGAGGTCAATTTTTTTATTGGAGTTAAAATTAACGTAGATATATGACCGAACCTAACCAACCCTACCTAACCTAACCTAACCTATATATATAGGTAAGGTTAGGTTAGGTAGCCAAAAAAAGCTAGGTTAGGTTAGGTTAGGTAGGTTAGGTAGACGAAAAACATTAATTCATGAAAACTTGGCTTATTAGGCAAATCGGGCCTTGCATAGTAGGCTGAGAAGTGAGTTCTGGCTACTAGGTACGACATATATATATATATATAAATAAATAAATAACAATGGAAGGGAGTACCACCTCTAGCTGGAAGAAGGGGGGACCCATAGCCTCGGAGGAAACCACGCATAACGCATTAGAGGGAATGTTTAGATCCCCTCCAATACAGTTTCTGTGTGCTTTTCTCCTACCACCCCCTTCCTTTTTTATTTTTTGTGCTTTATTTTTGTGCTTTATTATATATATATATATATATATATATATATATATATATATATATATATATATATATATATATATATATATATATATATATATATATATATATATAACTGAAAACTCACACCCCAGAAGTGACTCGAACCCATACTCCCAGAAGCAACGCAACTGGTATGTACAAGACGCCTTAATCCACTTGACCATCACGACCGGACAAAATGAGGTGATAGCCTAAGCTATTTGAACCACCCCACCGCCGGCACTCGGATAGTAATCTTGGGCATAGCATTTTACCAAATCACCTCATTCTTTGGGGAACACGTGAGGAACACAAATGCGAACAAGCCTGAATGGTCCCCAGGACAATATGCAACTGAAAACTCACACCCCAGAAGTGACTCGAACCCATACTCCCAGAAGCAACGCAACTGGTATGTACAAGACGCCTTAATCCACTTGACCATCACGACCGGACAAAATTAGGTGATAGCCTAAGCTATTTGAACCACCCCACCGCCGGCACTCGGATAGTAATCTTGGGCATAGCATTTTACCAAATCACCTCATTCTTTGGGGACACACGTGAGGAACACAAATGCGAACAAGCCTGAAAAACAAATGCGAACAAGCCTCACAAATGCGAACAAGCCTCAAGTATGAGGTGATTTGGTAAAATGCTATGCCCAAGATTACTATCCGAGTGCCGGCGGTGGGGTGGTTCAAATAGCTTAGGCTATCACCTCATTTTGTCCGGTCGTGATGGTCAAGTGGATTAAGGCGTCTTGTACATACCAGTTGCGTTGCTTCTGGGAGTATGGGTTCGAGTCACTTCTGGGGTGTGAGTTTTCAGTTGCATATAATGCCTGGGGACCATTCAGGCTTATTTGCATATTATATATATATTTTATATTATATATATACTGTATATAAAATAAAATAAGAACAACCACAGTGCTATGGAATAATTTCCTTTGATGAGGCTTTTAGCAAAGCAAAAATACTAAAACTATTTTCCTATTTCACTGTAGTGGTTGTTACATATAGCCTATATACAGTAAAGTATACTGTAAATAGCAAATTACAAAAGTAGCTGTATTCATTATGGTCAGAGTACCAAGCAGCTCGGTGTTGCAGCACAATGTTAGATCAAAACTATATTGAGTGTGATGTATCTTATTACCTGTTATTCATTACAGAAAAATAGGTACAGTATGCTTGTGCTGTTCCGTCTATTTGTTATTTTATTTTTATATATATACCAGAGTTCTTGCATTCTTGTAAAGCCACTAGCACCCGTAGATTTTCAGGCAAGTCCTTAATACTAATTTTTTTCTCCGGAATACGGCGCGCCAAATCGTTTAACAACCAGATACTCATTTACTGATGGGCGAACAGAGGCTACAGTTAAGGATTGGCACCTGGTCAATCCTCCCCAGTGAGGCCAAAGCACTGACAAAGTACCGAGTGAGTACTTTACCACTACGCCACAGGGACTGCCATTTATGTTTGGGGAAAAATAGTTCTAAGGAATGTAGTGGGTCTGGTTTCCCTGTGTAAGAGAGACCCTTGTGAAGGGTATAATGCAGTAGCGAGACATAGAAACAGAAGTGTTAAATGTTGAAAAAAGTCTGGAACTTTGACAGTTGAAATCCCAGGCAGTACAATAGGCTGTTCTGCACATGCGCAGAGCATTGTCAGAGCAGGAAGTGTCATCCCCAGAACAGTGTAAACAGCAAAGTAAATACATGTTTAATTTAAAAAGCATATTCAGTGCTTCTGACCCTATAGGAAGCTGTATGGTTGGTCCATTCGTGCCCTAGATATGTGCTATCCACACAATAATGGCAATGTTCAGAAACTGTCAGACTGGTTGAAGCAAATAGAATGGCTCAGGAATTCAAAACTGAAAATTTAACAGTAAGATAATACATTTTAGAATTACAGTATCAGAATGGTTACAGTTATGGTATGGTTGACACATTTTAGTGTCAGCAGAATGCGAAAGTGTAAATTCCTCTTACCAATACTACCAAACCTATACATTACCAGTCCTATTCCCGGGCACGAAAGAAATGGTTGGACACGTTTTCTTTCACCTAATGCCTCTGTTCACCTAGCAGTAAATAGGTACCCAGTATTTAGGCAGCTGTTGTTAGGTTGCATCTTGGAAAGGGTCAGTAGTTTGTTCTTTAGGGGACTTCAATATAAGCCGAAAGTATATATATACAGTATATTTACCTGATTTACCCGAGGGCCACTAACCCTAGTGGCCTCGATAAGGACAAGAAGCTGGTGGCTTGTCAATGGTTCTCCCCATTTGCCTTGATCTTTTCCAGGTAGATTTTAAAACTTAACACAGTTTTGACA